ATGACTGCTTAATGACTACCTCAGCCAAGGGCCCAGAATTAGACCTGACGTTTGCTCGATACAACCGGAAGCCGCTCTTAGCGCCTGTCGACTAAACTGATCTGCTGCTGCTAACTCACAGAGAGACCAGAGAGACAGAGACAGTACTACACGTACAGCCCTTCCTTTGTCATCAACAGAACCACATCCTGAAGAAAAACATTTTGTGGGGAGAAGCATCCATGATGGGAAAATATCGATACAGTTACATGAAATTGGGAGCCAATTTGTTTTCTGCGCTTTTAGTTCCATGACTGATCAAAACGTGTTTTCTCATGACTCTCTCTTGTCTCTGCAGCAGACATATGGTGAGCCATATGTTTGGAACATCGAATCGCAATAAAATCACAGTATCAAATCGCAATACATATCGTATCGGCACTTAAGTATCGTGATAATATCATATCGTGAGGTCCCTGGCAATACCAGCCCTATTATGTTAGACTAGGGAAATTGTGTTTCCATAGCTAGGGCTGACAGTAGGACTTGTGAAGGGCAGAATCAACAACCTCTGCGTAATCAAAACAGTTGCTTTGTGAGAAGGTTTTAAAGTTCACAGTTAGCCATTGTTACGTGAATGCCAGCTGAAAAGTACCAGTGGCCTGGCTTTGGCCCCAAGTGAGAGCAGGTCCACCGGAGCCATTGCCCAGTGAGACACGGATGCCGGCCCGCGTAGATGGAAACAGAAATGTCTGTGCCTTTTGGGTAAAACATTGGGGTAAATCCTGTATGGAAATGCGCCATGAGTGAACTGCTATGTCTTTGGTTTGTACTTTTCAAAAAGGGCATGGAATGTTACCAGTACACCTGTATTGTGTTTCCAATTATCCCTGGTGCCACTTAGCAACACTTCAAGGTGTACCAGTGGCACTGCCTTTACTATTGGTTGTTTTGTAAGTAGACTACATGTTGGCTTTTTGAAGCACAAGCCACTGCAGTGTGTGTGCTTTGTAGTGTGGCTATGATCGATTTCTGCTCAATGACGCAGGCTCTACCTTACATTAGAAGAATGGATTGCGGGGACAGCATTTATAAAAGACTGTGGTGCTTTTCCACGCAGTGCTGTCCATCTCCCAGACTCGTCATACAGGGCCATTTCCTCCCCGTGTCTGTTTTCATAAGACTTCCTCTCACTCCCTCATGGCATTGAAGGAACATATTTGTGATGAGAGGAGAAAAGCTGTCACCCGGGAGAGACAGGGCAATAATTTCACTCGTCCCCTCCACAGTCCTCTCCTCTTCTCTCACTCTTCTTTATTTGCACCTCTCTTTTTTTCTCCTCTCATTCTTCTCATATGTTGCTGTCTTTTGGTAAGCGCTGTGGACATCTGACATGTTTTCTTGTTAATAGAAGAGGGAAATTGTGGATGTGTCCCTGCCTGTCTCTTCTGTTATCCCCGTGCCTAGGGTTAGAAAGGAAACGTATATTACTAGAAACTTTCTAAGTTTACCAGTAAACTACCAGAATTGTGGTATCTTTCAAGGATTTTATGTAATCTATCGCAAGACATCAGTGGGCCTTTTGGATACTTCAGATTTGTACAGGTGTCTGTAATGATCTCTGGCCCTCTGTGTGGCCTTATCACATGTAACATTTATGAAATAATTAAATAAGATGATTTTCAAATAAAAATTGAATGACAAAGCTGTAAAACATTATCATAAATATAAACCATCTACTTAGTGAATACCATTGGTGTTTAATATGAGGGTTTCAGCATGAAATGTCCTTTATATTATTTTTTACACACTTTGTCTTATTTAACTATGTCAGTTTGTTGTCAAATAGTTGCAGAATGAATTGAAAATAATGCAATTGTTGATTAGATACTTTTTAGTAAATCTATTTTCTCTTGAACTATATGGTCTATCTACTAGAAACTCATGGACAAAAATTATGCTAAATATGAACACGTCTTTCTAAAGCTATTCAAGTATAAATTACCAAAATTACGATAGATTATCATAGATTTTCTGTTAATTACCAAAATTACTGAAGATTCCGGTAGCTTTGGTAAATTACCGCTATCGTTGCAATCCTACCCGTGCCACATGGACACAAATAAGCAAAGAGTTGTGTCACCTATTAATGTAAGTGACCCATCAGTATCTCTATTTGCACATCATCTCTTGCACATCATTCCAGTGTTAATACTAAATTGTAATTATTTTGCACTATAGCCTATTTTATTGCCTTACCTCCATAACTTGCTAAATTTGCACACACTGTATATATATGTATTTCTGTTGTATTTTTGACTTTGTTTTGTTTTACCCCATATGTAACTCTGTGTTGTTGTTTTTTATCGCACTGCTTTGCTTTATCTTGGCCAGGTCGCAGTTGTAAATGAGAACTTGTTCTCAACTGGTTTACCTGGTTAAATAAAGGTTAAATAAAATAAAATAAAAAAATAAAATGGGAGTCCCATTGGGGATCCTGTGTTGCTTGTAGGAGGTAGGAAGGCTTGCATGACGTAAGACATGGAACTGCCATCTAGTGGTAGTCAGTGTTCTGGCCTGGGATATCAGCCTGTCTTCCAGTCCCAGAGTTGTTTATTTCCTGCTCAGGGGATACCTTCGTCTTTGGAGATGAAGTTGGGATTTTGTTGTTATTGAAGTCTATGGGGATTGCTGATTTATAATAAGGAATTCTAATATTGAATCCAAGTAAATGAAAAATACTCTCATAGTCCTTTTCATTCGTAATACCAATACATATTGTTAGACCTGGACGTAGAGCAAGATATTTTCATCTTTTTAATGTTGTAATATTTCAGAATTGAAATAAATGAATATAGATATCCTTGAGGTCAGAGCAGAAATCAGGTGGCTGAAAAATATCTCTGCTCTTCTCTGGCATACAATAGGTTAATCTTCTAGAGACATGCGAGGTGACATTTGTTTTCCTCGTCACCTTTAGAGAATGCCCACAATGTCAGGGAGGACTGTTATCATTGAATGCAGGGAGAGGAGTCCTTATCACCCCTCATTCTATAGGGCCATATCAACGTGTTTTACTCTCTCTCCACATAACCATGTACTGTACCTCTCATACTGGGTAATACCCATGTAATACAACAGCCTTCATCTTCTCCTCACACTGCATTCCCTACTGGCCCATTGACCATCACCAATGTCACCTGCACAATATACTCAGTGATGGATGTCCCTTATACATATTCATAGAGCAGTCATCTTCAGTACAGTTACCATAACACATCCAGACATCCTTTCAGGATCAGGCTGCTGTCTCAATGTTGTGGTCACTCTAGCTTGTATAGAGTCTATAGACTATTTAAAGCACACCCTGTCATCATCTATCAGTATCATAATAGTCACATTAGATCCAGCAAGGTTTCACATTGGGTAGACAAGCATGCAGCCAATTGATACACTGGATGTGGCCTTGGTATGTACCGTACGTGTCAGGACAACATAGGAATTAGAGTGATTGTCTTGTATTGAGGTCATACAGGAACTTGCTGTGTGTAATGAATAACGTCCGCTTTTATTACAGTACTGTATGTTTGTCATGTCCCACTGAATCAGCTCAGTGTCAACATATTGAACACGAGGAACTGCAGTAGACTTCTTCTCACAAGGTTGTACATACCAATGTGAAATGTGATAAATATGTTAAAAAGGCTACCCAGTAAAGTGTGAATTGGCTTGTAAAGAATTGTCAAAAAATAAGCAAAACACTTCCTTATAGCGACGTGCATGTGTTAAACATTATCAGCACCTGCTTGGGTTGGTGCTGAAGATGTGTTAATTAGCTATGGTTCGTCTTCTGTGTTAAAACATTAAAAAACACATTGAATTTACACTGACGCTGTGGTCATTATATCTTAAATCTGTCAACTTCATAAGATTTTAGAGAAATGTTTGTTTGTGTTATCTGATCTCTCCTCTGAGAGAGATAGAGATGCTGGTTATGTGTCATTGAATATTGTTCGGTTCGTATCCCACTGTTTTATATTATGCTCCTAGCAGCGATGCTGTTCAACACTTCTTTATCCTAGCATCTCCTGAGAGTAAAGCTTCTGAGTTCCTCTGTCTAACCAGAATAATGTGCCAGGAAAGATGCCCTCGCTCGGTTTTCTTCTCCCACTCTCTCTGCAGCTGGGGCCAGGCCTGCTAACCCCACAGGGCGCACAAACATCACACAGACACAATTTATAACAATCACCTCTCCCGCTCTCTCTCACTCCCTGTGCCTCACCATCTTCCCCTCTTCTCACACACACACACTCTACCGTTCTCTCTCTCTTTCTGTCTCTCTCTCTCTTTCTCTCTGTCTGTTCCTCTCTCTCACACAATCGCACTCACGCACAACCATTCATATTCCCGGAGTTATCATATTGAGGTTGATACCACCATACAGTAGACAGTTCCACTGTTTGAGAACACCAAAGTCCTATGAGAAATATATAGTGTGTGGGTGTACTACTTGGCTTTGTCTGGATTATAAAGCACTTGAGGAGGAACGGAATGATATTGTGAATTTAAATCACAGGGAGCTTTATCGATGGTTCTGTTTAATGTTCAATGGAAAGACAGGGCAGGGGTGGCAGGATAGGACTGGAGTCTTATGGGAGTGAACATAAAGACAGTGAGAAATGCTTTCTAATCTTATGAAAAACTGTCATATAAACACAAAGACACAAAGGGAACAGACTACCACTGTTAGCAGTATTATCTGAGCATGGAGAAAGGACGTTTGGACTACATGTGGGCTATAATTATTGCAATCTGGTAGAAAACTGGAATGAGTCCTGTGGGAGAAAGGGAGGGTGGAAGAGAAAGAGGATGGAAAGGGAATGGTGTGTTCAACAGTTGAAGAAATAAAGATGAAACGGTAGTGATCGAGAAAAGGGGAGGATATGTACTATCATAAAAATATGTTAGAGAAAGAGATTAAGAGAGTGAGGGAGAGAGGGTATATTGATTATATACAGTACATGGTCCTGGTGTTCTGGCCTGGTGTGACCCTCTGCATCGAGTGGGCTGGCTGTGTGCTCTGTGAGGTCCTGTTTCACAGGCCCAAGGGCAGGTTTGGAGAAGGTCAGCACCACTTACTGCTGCATGGAGGAGCAGCAATCAAACACATTCAAAGTGCTTGATAGACCCAGGCCCTGACAATATGCCATTCACTCAGCTCAACAGCAGACACGCGCACGTACGTACACATTTGCTCACTTTCTTTCTTTCTTTCTTTCTTTCTTTCTTTCTTTCTTTCCTTTTTTCTTTCTTTCTTTCTTTCTTTCTTTCTTTCTTTCTTTCTTTCTTTCTTTCTTTCTTTCTCTCTCTCTCTCTCTCTCTCTCTCTCTCTCTCTCTCTCTCTCTCTCTCTCTCTCTCTCTCTCTCTCACTCACTCACTCACTCACTCACTCACTCACTCACTCACTCACTTACTCACTCACTCTCACTCAGTCACTCATTCTCTCACTCACACACACATACAAACATACAGCTTCACATAGGACATTCTCTGGCGAAGCCTCCACAGCACATCCTGTTTCATGCACATGGGCAATATGACGTCCCAGACGTGTCTCCCAATGTGAAGCACAGCCAGCTGGATGACCCAAGGCATCCATGGTGCATTGGCTACAGCACTGGGCCCTGGAGACATGGCCATGTGGCGCTCTGCTGCTGCTGGTGCTCTCAGAGATGTCCTTACTCTACAGGCACTACAAAATGCATCACTTACTGAACCCATGCTGCTGAATTCAGCACATACTGTATGAGGACTACTAATAACTACTACCAATTGGTAGGTACATGGTGTCAACTAGGAGTTTAGCAGGTGAGTTACTTAAACAACAAAATATAATCCGACACTTAACTATTTGGCACGGTCTTGGCACTCTCCAGTATGTGAGATTCATGAAGCGCAACAGCGGAAGTTTGCTCTAATGATGTGTCTAAAAGGCCTCTTAATGACAGAGCTAAGAATGCTAATTAGCATCTCTGTTTTGGGCTGTGAAGAATGATGCTAAATTAAGAATGATGCTAACCATGCTCAGATGCTTGATACACAACAAGAGTTGTCTTTTTTTTCTGAGTGAGGCTTTGACTTGATGCCTTTAGAAATATTAGGCTGTATATATATATCTCTCTCGCTCTTTTTCTCTCTCACCCTCTCTCTCTCTCTCTCTCAATCAGATATCATATCAAATAATACAGTTATTATTCAAGAGTATGCTATTTCAATGCATCACTGATCTAGTGATTGATTTTGATGTCTCTAATCTCTGCTCATTTATTTTCCTTGCTACCTGCTTTTAGATGAAATCAATCTTTATAAAGCATCAGCTCAGGGGAAAGAGTCCTGAGAAAGCATTGTGTAAGCAGTCCCGTGAATCAAATATAACCATAATGAGTTGCCCCGTAGAATAATCCCATTAACCTACACTGGAATATCGCCCTTTATTGCCTTCAGACCTTTCTCTGGATTAACACTGACCTCAGAGGTGTTACAGATCGGTATTAATGGAAGACTCTGGACTTTATTTTGACGCACCACAGATACTGTATATGTACACTATCATTGAAAAGTTTGGGTTCACTTAGAAATGTCCTTGTTTTCGAAAGAAAAGCAATTTTTTTGTCCATTAAAATAACATCAAATTGATCAGAAATACAGTGTAGACATTGTTAATGTTGTGAATGGTTATTGTAGCTGGAAAGGCTGATTTTTTATGGAATATCTACATAGGCGTACAGAGGCCCATTATCAGCAACCATCAGTCCTGTGTTCCAATGGCACGTTGTGTTTGCTAATCCAAGTTGATCATTTTAAAAGGCTAATTGATCATTAGAAAACCCTTTTGCAATTATGTTAGCACAGCTGAAAACTGTTGTGCTGATTAAATAAGCAATAAAACTGGCCTTCTTGAGACTAGTTGAGTATCTGGAGCATCAGCAATTGTGGGTTCGATTACAGGCTCAAAATGGCCAGAAACAAATAACTTTATTCTGAAACTCGTCAGTCTATTCTTGTTCTGAGAAATAAAGGCTATTCCATGCGAGAAATTGCAAAACAGACACCTCACAGGTCCTCAACTGGCAGCTTCATTAAATAGTACCCGCAAAACACCAGTCTCAACGTCAACAGTGAAGAGGCGACTCCGGGATGCTGACCTTCTAGGCAGAGTTGCAAAGAAAAAGCCATATCTCAGACTGGCCAATAAAAAGAAAATATTAAGATGGGCAAAAGAACACAGACACTGGACTTTTTCTTTGTAACTCTGCCTAGGAGGTCAGCATCCCGGAGTCGCCTCTTCACTGTTGACGTTGAGACTGGTGTTTTGCGGGTACTATTTAATGAAGCTGCCAGTTGAGGACCTGTGAGGCGTCTGTTTCTCAAACTAGACACTCTAAAGTATTTGTCCTCTTGCTCAGTTGTGCACCGGGGCCTCCCACTCCTCTTTCTATTCTGGTTAGAGCCCGTTTGCGCTGTTCTGTGAAGGGAGTAGTACACAGCATTGTACGAGATCTTCAGTTTCTTGGTAATTTCTTGCATGGAATAGCCTTTATTTCTCAGAACAAGAATTGACTGACGAGTTTCAGAAGAAAGTTATTTGTTTCTGGCCATTTTGAGCCTGTAATCGAACCCACAATTGCTGATGCTCCAGATACTCAACTAGTCTCAAGAAGGCCAGTTTTATTGCTTCTTTAATCAGCACAACAGTTTTCAGCTGTGCTAACATAATTGCAAAAGGGTTTTCTAATGATCAATTAGCCTTTTAAAATGATCAACTTGGATTAGCAAACACAACGTGCCATTGGAACACAGGACTGATGGTTGCTGATAATGGGCCTCTGTACGCCTATGTAGATATTCCATAAAAAAATCTGCTGTTTCCAGCTACAATAGCCATTTACAACATTAACAATGTCTACACTGTATTTCTGATCAATTTGATGTTATTTTAATGGACAGAAAAATTGCTTTTCTTTCGAAAACAAGGACATTTCTAGGTGACCCCAAACTTTTGAACGGTAGTGTATTACCGGTAGGATAACTTCACCTCTCCTCTCAATTAGGAGGAGAAACCCTAGGCTGGAATTTCCCCCAATCAATCAATGTATTAATCAATTCAATAAATCTGTTCATTTATGGTTCTGTAGTGTAAGGCACAGCCTGTGGAATCATTATATTTGCATAGCTAGTTCACTCCCAAAGCAACAGGAGAGGAGCAGCAAGTAGTTCCCTTGTTTTGATGCCATCATTGCAGTGATGTCAATGTGCCCACTAGCCAATCAGGATGCCCCGAACATTCAATAGGTTGCCCCAAAAGTTCTAATAACACAAAAACTGTCCAGTTGTGCTGATGATTATACAATGTTTGTATAAAACAGTCACCTGATGTTGCAAGAACGTTCCCAGAACAAATGTTGTTATTACATTACCTGGAAACCTAATAAGAACCTTAGGGTAATGTTCTGTGGCGGCTGTTACAGATTTTGTGCACAACATTTTAGTGAATGTTAGGAGAACATTTGAAGGATATAAAAAAAATAAAAACAGTATTTGAATGTTTTTGAGATGTTATCATCCTAATGTTAGATAAAACCCTAACTAGAACTTAATGGGAATATAATGTTGTGGGAATGTTCCCAGTTTGCTGGGTGGGCACTGCAGGGATGCAGGCAGCTATGCCAACACATAAATAGCACGAAGCAGTAGACTACTCTGCTAGGTCTTCAAATCAACACACAATGCTCAATGTTGATTAAAAGATTAACATTGATTATGATCAACACAAATATTTTATAACCTCAATTATGGCAGGAATTCCTCAGCAAGGAAGAGATGAACAGAGACTAATTTGATTAGCATTTAGACAACGGCCTCCTCATAAATAAATTGATTAGATTTCTTGTCTCCTGTTGATGGGCACCCAAAAAGATTTTCAGAGGCCAGACGTGGCAAAGTTAACACGGCAGCTCGTATTATCTCAGCCTGCACTTGGATATTGAATCTGTCTGTGTCATTATCTATGTGGTGTTATTTGAGTACATTTGTATTTATGTTGTTTGCTCTTATTTTGGTTTCTCTCTGGTTCTGATGAAAAGGGTGAAGGGGATTTGAGAAGAGCCACTTATGGCTGAAGTTGGGTTTTCTGCCTCCTGAGCTGACATGAAATAGTTCCACCCCGGGTATTTAAAAATTCTAACGGGTTGAGGATTAAATATTAAACACTGCAGACTTGGGAATCCATTCCTCCGCTGAGGAATGAAAATCTTGGGAGTGTTCCTGACCTGCGGTCCACAGAGAGGTATGTGTATGATGAGAAATATCAGCTTACATGTTTCTCTCCATAGGGTCATGGAGGCAACGTCTCACATTGACATTGCCACAAAGGATTTGAATTTCTGCTTTACAACCAACAAAATAATGAACCTGTGTTTGTTTTTTCTCTCTCCACCTTCTCTCATCCTCTCGCCACTCTCCTCTCTCCATCACCCCCCCCCCCCCCCCCCCTCCTCTCCACACTGTCCCCCTTTTATTCCATTGTTCTCTGCTTTCTCTCTTCTGTGGCTGTGCCCCACCTGTGGTGTGTGAACTGTGCAGTGAGCTCGAACCAGAGCAGTGCCCATGAGTACCCAGACTGCCGTGATGGGGGCAGCGAGGCCAGCCTGCTGGTGTCACCGCTGGTGGTGGCTGGCATCGTCATCGGCCTGGTGCTCTTCCTTTCCTGCGTTACCATCATTGTGGGCAGTCTGCGCAAAGACAGCCGTCTGCGCAACCCCCACCTTCGGGCCAGCTATGGTGAGTTACAGAGAGCTGTCCATCAATGAGGCCAGTGGTTGTGTTAGAGGCCAGTTCATTTATAAGCTTTAGTTTATCGGTTTTCAGTTACAAGCGGTTTCATAGGTCTTATTTACAAATCACTGGGACAAAATGTATGGCCATGCATTTTCCATGCTACTTTTCCCAGAGCTGAATCAATAGAAGATATCCAGTTCAGTCTTCTATGAACACATTTCACCCACATGGCATTAATATGCCACATTTGGCATTCTCCAGAGCTGGCATTTACACCAACCAGTGCTCTTCTCCTGAAACCTCATATAAAGGGACCACACTCTGCCTGTGGGGTTGATAACGGAATGGGAAAAAAACAAAATATTGCGGCCAAACTGAATCACACACACACACACACACACACAACACAGCCAAAGCCGTGTCTGTGGAAGGCCACTTGGCCCAGTGGACTGGGTCCCATTGTCAGTCCACACAGAGAAGCACAAAAAGCTCAAAGAGCATCCTTTGTATGAGGACGCGGCCCCAATCTCCCTCTGCCTGGCCAAAGGCTGATATACCCAGATTATATCACACTGGCTTCAATCACAGCCCCTCTATCTTCAAGGAGCCACATGCTCTTAGCCTTTATGTTTCATAAAGATTCTGACTGCTCCAGTGTAAAAACAGTGCAGATGAGAGAGATAGACTGCTAAAAGAAATATTTACTGTAAATCTGCTTATTCAGTTCAAAGTAGGATCCCTAAACCATGAGATATATAATTCAGTTGAACTGAACACAGAGAATATTTACAATCCTGACTGTGTGCTGTAGTTCACTGAGAAAAAAGCTATTGTGTTCGTTAGTGTTGTATTAGACTGCCCTGCCTCTCCACAGCTCCGGATGGCTTTTCGTATGGTGGCTCCATTGGGGAGCTGAGGTCGACGTGTATCGAGGAGTTCCCTCCAGCGTTTGACTTTGACTCCTACGTGGAGACTCTATCACAAGTCAATGTGATGTATCCAGACTCCCCGCCTCAGTAAGTCATTTAACTCTACTGTATTACCACCTATTACGGCATTACGATCATCTTCATTCCTGTGGTCACCAAAATGGCTAGATAAAGGGAGTTTTATGATGGTCCATTTGCTGTTATCTTCATACATTATGATAAATGATGGATGAGTAATGATCCACTATTTTTCTGGATGGTTACCTCTGGGTGATTCCCAGGGTGTGTGTGTGTGTGTGTGTGTGTGTGTGTGTGTGTGTGTGTGTGTGTGTGTGTGTGTGTGTGTGTGTGTGTGTGTGTGTGTGTGTGTGTGTGTGTGTGTGTGTGTGCGTGTGTGTGTGTGTGTGTGTGTGCGTGTGTGCGTGTGTGTGTGTGTGTGTGTGTGTGTGTGTCTGTGTGTTTGATAGGATCTGGCTATGATAATGAAGCAGGACCAGGTAATGGAATGGAGGGATGGGCTGGGGAATGGAGAGCTGTAGTAAGGAGTAGATGTGAGAAGTGGTTAAGAGCTCTCTAATCAATCTAAAGATCACATTATCATCCACCATAGTGGAGAGCCATAGTTCCTATGATGGGCTTTCTGTACTTAGTGCACTCTTATGGTTATATGATTGAAATGTAAAGGGTTTTGGAATATATTCAATATGCATTTCATTTGCGTTCCAGTTTCCATGCAATAACTGTGGTTCTCTAGCTCAGTTAGTAGAGCACAGCGCTTGCAACGCCAGGATAGTGGGTTCAATTCCCGGGACCACCCGTATGTAAAATGTATGCACGCATGACTCAGTCATTTTGGATAAAAGCGTCTGCTAAATGATACTGTATATATCATAACTTTGCTGTAAACCATGCTCACCTTATCAACAGTGAACAGTTGTGGGGACTGGGGATTGTGCTTGAAGATGCTTTTGAAAGCCTTTTTAGTTTCAACGTGCCAAGATGGCTGCCCTCTATCCTCCTAGTGTAGCCTTTGAAGACATACAGTAAGGAGACAGAAAGAGTAGGAGAGATAAGATAAAGAGGGGAAGAGAAAGAGAGGAAGAGGAAGAGAGGGAAAAAAAGACTCCATTTACACACCAGCCTTCAGTTCTCCTGCACACTTGCTGAGTTAGGTCTGGCCTCGGTAACCTCTCTGAGGTTGAGTTGAACCATGCTGTTGTGTCAAGACGTTCATTAGAGCACTGTTGCACAGCTCAACTCTTTCATGGCTGGGTGCTCCGCCTCACACTCTAAACTCTCCGCCCAGCACGCAGCCTGCTTCGCTCCCTGAACAAGCCTCTGGTGCTGCTGGTAAATGCCACTGCTTTGCAGTGAAAGACGCCCGGTGTGTTTGATCTAAATGGCAGCCCAGCTAATTGGCGTCTTTAATAATTCAGCCATATTCCTCTCTCTTGCAGTTTGGTCTGCCATCCTTTCTAAAGACACTCATGAAGTGTTGATGCCAGCTGATAAAAGAAGGTTAAAGAAATGAGAGTCTTGAATACAATCTAGAATACATTGAGTGTAATACATGGTACAATAAACTCTGTTTCTCACTACCTCTCTCAATGAGAGGAGAGGATCACCTTAGGTTTGTGTAACAAAATGGAAGCAAGCTCCACCTGAGCACCAGTCTTGACAGTTGGTTTAAAAATTACTTGACAGATAGAACTCAATGTATATCTACTGATGGTGTTAAATCAGGTTTTCTGGACATAATGAAAGGTATCCCGCAGGTGTCAATTCTGTGTCCTGTACTTTTTACATTAACAATATTGAAAAATTGTAACCTGCAATTGTATACCGATGATACTGTTGTGTATGCTATTACCCCCACGGTTGACCAGGCTCTATCTGAACTACAGTCTGCCTTCATTGTATTACAGAAAAACTTTATTGACCTGAAATTAGTATTGAATGCAGGTAAAACTAAGTAAATGTTTTTCTCAAGAGTGCATAAAAATAACTCTGATGATTTAAACATATGTACTTTGGATGGTGTCCATATTAAATAAAAAAAATAAAGTACTGATCATGTTGATCATGTCCCTGCTTACAAATATCTGGGCATTTGGATAGATGAAAAGCTGTCTTTTAAAAAGCATTATGATGAGTTAGTTAAGAAGCTGAGAATAAAAATGGGCTTCTTCTATAAAAAATAGGTAATGCCTCTCGCTAAATAGTAGAAAGCAGATTATTCAGTCGACGTTCCTATCATAGACTATGATGACATCATCTATATGAACTCAGCTGCCACTTCATTAAAGCCGTTAGATGCAGTTTATCATAGCGCACTGCGCTTTAATACGGGCGACAGTTTTAGTACTCATCACTGCATTCTCCACCAGAAAGTTGGTTGGCCCTCTTTGATGTCATGTAGGTTGATACATTGCTATTTTTCTGGTATAAAGCCCTTTTACAAAAACTCCCACTGTAGCTAACATGATTACTAAACCTTAGACACCCGGTCTCAGGGATGGCTAACTCTGGAAATTCCTTTGGTCTCTACTGAGTTAGATAAATCAGCTTTTAGTTTTCTTGCACCTTATTTGTGGAACAATCTTCAAAGTGTTCTTAAATTTGATGTTTTGGTGCCTCTAGGGCAATTCAGAAAGCTGATTGAGGACCTTATTACTGATGAATGTGTTTGTTTTTTATGACCGTGTTTTTCTTTCTTTCTTTCTGCTTGCATTTTGTATTTATATTTTGATGTGTGTATTTTCTGTAATTTATGTAATTCAGGGCTCATCTGTAAAAGAGACCTTGGTCGCAGTATGACTCCCTGATTTAAAAAAAGAAGAAAAAAAGTTGTTTCCTCACAGAGAGAGGGTAGGCTACGGAGCAGCAGTTCTTTATTCCATGTTTAGGTTCAGAGTCCAGTTAATGCACTCTTTCCTCACTGTGATTGGATTACATAGGAGGAGGAGGAGGCTTAATCCTGACAGTCCTCTAAACCTCCACAGGCTCAATCTGCAGGTCTAGACATCCTGCCAGCCTCCACCACATCATCTCCACTCTGATCCCTGGCTGACACTACACCTGTTTACTGACTACTGGGCTGTGATCACATCCTAAACAGCTCCTGATGATTTCACTATCTAGGAATTACCCCATGTATTTCAGAATTAAGATAGAAAACAAACCTGAAAGGAAATGCAACCTTTCTGTAACTAGATGGACTGACTGTGGGTTTGGTTTGAAGCCACCCACCTTCCCCTCCCCTCCCTCAGGTATAAAGATGAGATAAGATAATTAGGTGGGTGCTTACATTTGTCCTATTTGTGAATTGGAAATGTGTTTTTTGCATATCACACTGACACACCCTCGGAGAGTGGGGTCAGAGCATGGGTCAGTCATTATTGACGGCGACCCTGGAACAATTAGGGTTAAGTGCCTTGCTCAAAGGCACATAGACAGATTTTTCCCCTAGTCGGTGAGGGATTTGACCAAACGACCTTTCGGTTACTGGCCCAACGCTCCTAACCGCTAGACTCCGTTTGTGTGTGTGTGTGTGTGTGTGTGTGTGTGTGTGTGTGTGTGTGTGTGTGTGTGTGTGTGTGTGTGTGTGTGTGTGTGTGTGTGTGTGTGTGTGTGTGTGTGTGTGTGTGTGTGTGTGTGTGTGTGTTTGTTTATCCGGCTCAATTCTGCCTGCTTGCCCTTCAAGGTTTGTTTCACAGAGTCACAATGTTATTTACATTTATATGACAGTTCCATTAGTGTGGCGGCCCCTGTGTATGGCCCTGTGAGGGGCCTCTAAAGAGGGTGAAATTACCTCTCCCTCCAGAGGAGCCATCTGAAACATCAGGCCCTTTCCTGTTCAACAACAAATTATGAAAAATATGGAATATTACTGCCATAGACAGGGCTATTAATGTCACTGAATAGTGTGTAATTCAGTTTGGCGATATATCAATCTGCTCAATTTCTGTATAGATAGTAATGTCCTGCCTCTTTTATTCACTGGCCTTTTCTATCAGATAAACCTGTAGGTTACATATGCAAACGTAGGCTGAAGCCCCATTTATAACTGGTTCTAACATGTGTCTTTTGTCCTGATCTTGTCCACATTCTGATTGTGCCCACATTTTTAGACAGGTGTAGAATATTAAAAGACGGATCGTGATCAGATTGTGAACAGGTCTTCCTGACCAACTCAGGAGGTAGTCAGGCACGCATTGTGTCTCGATATCTTAGTGTAGATGGATCTGGACAGTGAAACCATTTAAATAATCATTATCCTGCCTTCTAAAATCATCAGTCAGGTGGCACCATTGACTTATGACATCAATATGTGTCTTAAAATAAATAAATAAATAAATATTATTTTCAAATAATGTCTGTCAAATAATTTGCATACAGGGAGGGACCAAGAAATCTGTTCAGCATGTGGATACAGTGGATGGATAAGAGACACATTTAAATACCATGTGTAGATACATATCTGAAATGGGAACAATCAGAATGTGGGCAAGATCAGGACAGGATGCATGTTAACGCCAGGTATAAACAAGGCTTACAAGAGAGAGACTGAGTGGGCACGAATGAGAGGAAGAGGAAGAGGAGGTTTAGCCAATCGTGTCTCTTAACATGAAAAACACAAGTCTTTGTTCTGCGCTAAATACCAACACCTGGTTGTTGATAGTCAGAGCTTGTCCTTTAATGAGACACATGCTAATGATCAACAGATGCAACAAATTGTCAACAACGGTATTGATCTTTGCAGTGTCATGGCTACATCTAAGAAAGTCCTATGCTAACACAACATATTTGATGAAAAGACCAGACAGGATTACTAGCTTCTAATTGGCAAATTGTCATGTAGTGCTTGTGTTTTCAAGCCTTTAGAGAGCTTGTGTTATTATTGGTTTAGATGTTAGGCTCCACTGTTAGATGGGGTTAGTGGTGGTTGGCTTGGGTGTTGGCGCTGGCGCTGAACAAGCCACTCTGTCAATGCCTCTGCCTCTCATAGCCTCCATCCATCTCTGTTACGCTGTGGAGGGAGGGAAATCACTCCTCATATTAACAGAGGCACGATTCCTGTCTGGGGCCTAA